TGCTATTGTCGACGGTGAGACTGTAGCATCATGAGTATGGTTTATGACTCAATTAAAAGGTGCGCTCGGCGTAGTGAACAATTTGGTTTTCGTTTTCGATAGACATCACACCATTTGTAAGGCAATTGAGAAGGTATTTCCCACTGCATTTCATTGCTTTTGTATACAACATATTAAGATGAACTTGTTAGCAAAATTTAAAGTTGATGCAAAGGCACTCGAGGAACTATTTCTAAAAGCTGCGAAAGCATATCGAGAGTCTTATTTCAACTCAATCTGGGCTCAACTTGGTGCGTACCCTGGTGTGAGGGAGTATCTGGATGACATTGGAAAGGAGCGTTGGGCTCGTTGTTTCCAAACAGAATTGAGGTACACACAGATCACCAGTAATAATGCGGAGTCCGTGAATGCCCTTTTTAGACACGCGTGTAGGTTGCCAGTAACTGCTTTATTGGACCATATCAGAGGTCTGTTACAGACTTGGTTCTACGATCGACGGACGCTTGCCTCTTCCCAATCAACCACATTGTCCGACTATGCAGAAAATAAGCTTGCTGAATACTCGGACAATGCCAGGAGACACGTTGTAGTGAACATCGACCAGTTTCATGTCCAGGTACGTGATGGTAACCTTGACGGGATTGTTGATTTCAACTCTAGGACATGTAGTTGTCGGGAATTTGATTATTTTAAAATTTCATGCTCTCATGCTATTATCGGGGTGATGATGCGAAACATAAATCCGTACACTCTGTGTGACGAGGCATACACGACGAACTCCTGGGTAATGGCTTATGCAGAACCAATATTTCCAATTGGCCATGTCTCAACGTGGAAGAGTTCTCCAAATTTTGTCGATACACCGGTAGAAGCACCAGATATGGTTCTTAGAGTTGACAGGAGGCGGACAGTTAGGATTCCTTCCACGGGCGAGGTGCGCGAAACACGTAAGTGCGGTCGGTGTGGTACATCGGGGCACAATCGCAAAACATGTAATGAACCCCTTAACACGGCGTGAATGTATGATTTATTGGTAACTTGTTGTTTTTTCATAAATTTGTATGGTAACTTGTACCCCAAGCAACCAACCATGCATACGTGCATTGGTAACCCTATGTGTTATATTATTATTATCATTATTAATGGGGAGATTGTATTTGAATGTGTCATTCATGTATGATGCTAGAATAATGAACCAGACATAGAAACAATATTGAAAATGCATAATATTCAAAAAATGGGACGACGCGCTCACATCTGTACAGCGTACTGACGCCTAAAATATACAATATTATCTTGGGTCAAAGTGTCTATATTTGACCCAGTGGCATCATACTCGAAATACCGGACACAGAAAATCCCGCAATCAGTCGGCTACTCTGCTGTGGTACGCGAACCCGACTCACCCTCCACGGCACCACTGGCAAGTCCGATCGAACTGAAAATAT